ACATATCTGATAAAGGGTTAGTGTCCAAAATCTATAAAGAACTCATCAAACTCAATACCCAAAAAAACAAATTCAGTCAAGAAATTGGCAGAAGTCACGAATAGACATTTTTCCAAAGAACACGTCCAGATGACTAACAGATATGTGAAAAGATGCTCACCATCACTCAACATCAGGGAAATACAAATCAAAACTACTATGAGGTATCATCTCACACCAGGCAGAATGGCTAAAATTAGCAAAATTAACAGGAAACAACAAGTGTTGGCAAAGGATATGGAGAAAGGGGAGCCCTCTAGCACTGTTGGTGGGAATGCAAACTGGTTGCAGCCACTCTGGAAAACAGTATGGAGGTTCCTCAGAAAGTTAAAAATAGAACTACCCTACGACCCAGCATTTGCACTACTAGGTATTTACCCAAAGGATCCAAAAATACTGATTCGAAAGGACATATGCACCCTGATGTTTATATCAGCATTATCAACAATAGCCAAATTATGGAAAGTGCCCAAATGTTCACTGAATAATGGATAAAGAAGCTGTGGTGCATATATACAATGGAATATCACTCAGACATCAAAAAATGAAATCTTGCCATTTGCAACAATGTGGATGGAGCTACAGTGTATTATGCTAAGTGAAACAAGTTAGAGAAAGACAAATTCCATGTGATTTCACTCATGTGGAATTTAAGAAATAAAGAGATTGACATGGGGGGAAAGGAGACACGCAAATCACAAAATAGAGTCTTAACGATAGAAAACAAACTGAGGGCTGCTGGAGGGGAGGCGGGCAGGGGGATGGGTATTAAGGAGGGCACTTGTTGTGGTGTTGTATTTAAGTGATGAATCACGAAATTCTACTAATGAAACTAATATGACACTGTATGCTAAATAGAATTTAAATAAAAAACAAAAAATCTAACAGGTTTTGTTTTATGGTTTTGGTTTTTTTTTGTTTTTTTCAGAGAGGGAGAGAGGGGCGTGGGGGAGGGACAGAGGAAGAGGGGAAGAAAGAATTCTAAGCAGGCTCCACACTTGGTGCGGAGCCCGATGCCAGGCTCAATCTCCCAACTCTGAGATCATGACCCGAGCCTAAATCAAGAGTCAGACGCTTAAGTGACTGAGCCACCCAGGTGCCCCCAAAATCAAATAGCTTTTAACCAAGAAAAAATTAGGATGGTTGCCAAATGTGAAATATCATATTTTGAAAATAAGAAATTTTTCAATATTGCAATACTGAAAATTAGAACAGATCTGAAAAGAAAGATGATCCTAAGTTAACAAAAAGATAAAGCCAGGGGCGCCTGGGTGGCTCAGTCAGTTAAGCGTCTGCCTTCGGCTCGGGTCATGATCTCAGGGTCCTGGGATCAAGCCCCACATGGTGCTCCCTGCTCAGTGGGGAGTCTGCTTCTCCCTTGCCCCTCCCTCCCCCTGCTCTGCTTGCTCACTCTCTCTCTCCCAAATAAATAAAATCTTTAAAAAAAAAAAAAAAAGATAAAACCAGGAACTTTTATATTTAAGTAGAGAGGATCAGAAATGCTACTTCAAAAATCATACATAAGAAGAAAAAATATGCAGTAGATGTAAAGCTTCACTTTAAGAAGCAGGGCAGGTGGGTGCCTGGGTGGCTCAGTCGTTGGGCATCTGCCTTCGGCTCAGGTCATAATCCCAGGGTCCTGGGATTGAGCCCAGCATCGGGCTCCCTGCTCCGCGGGAAGCCTGCTTCTCCCTCTCCCACTCCCCCTGCTTGTGTTCCCTCTCTCGCTGTCTCTCTCTCTCTGTCAAATAAATAAATTTAAAAAAATAAATAAATAAGAAGCAGGGCGGGTGGACACAAATGGAAAGATAAAGGGTCAGATATGCAGTGCTGTGACAGTCACCAAAACAGGGTAAGGCCATAAACAGGAACATGTGTACAGCCAAATCTTCTTTAGGCCTAGATTATCCATCCCTTGAAACATTTCTGGACTTGAATAGTCATTGTCCTCTGAGTGCATCCACCTTATAAGCAACAAAAAAGTTTTATAATTTTATGTCACCATAAATGAGTATTTAAAACTACTTTTGGAGGGGAGCCTGGGTGGCTCACATAGTTAGGCGGCTGACTCTTGAGCCGGCTCAGGTCATGATGTCAGGGTCATGGGACTGAGCCTCACATCAGGCTCCACTGAGTGTGGAACCTGCTTAGGATTCTCCCTCTCCCTCCCCCCCTCATGCTTCCCCCCCCCAAAATAAAAATAAATAAATCTTTAAAACTACTTATGGGAAAAAATTTTAAAAATAAAAATAAAACCACTTTTGGGTTTAGAATTACTACAATGACCATACGTATGGCAGAAAAGCAAAGTGTCATGGCAACATCAGATGTCACAAAAGAACAGTCCAGGTTAAGAAGAAAACAATGTCTTGCCCTAACAAAGGAATCAGCTATACAAAATGAGCCATTAAATGGAATGGCCAAATAGAAAAGAGCCAAACTGTTAGATGCTGAATAAATAACATCAATAAATTATCTGAATTAGGAATAGCTAACAGATTCTTAATATTATACCTTCAAAATATTTAAAAATAACACCTATTCTGCAAGTTATGAAACATGGGTTCAGAATGTCTACGATTAAAGAATAATCTGATTTTCCACAACACGGAATGATGGAATACCAAATACTAAATGGGTGGAGGGGGTGAGAAGGGGAGGAAAGTACTCTCCTTAAAGTGCAACCATATCAGCAAGAAAAGCCTGAAAGTTCCAGGCCGATTGCACAGAATTTTCTTAAAGGACACCAGGAGCAAAGGAACAGTAGACTGAGTCTATTCTACATTCCTACACAGTGAATCAAGTTGTCAATAACCAGGATCATTTAAGTATAATAATCCTCCATTAAATTAAAAGGCCAATAATCCAAAAAAAGGGATATTTTTCCCTTCCAGGATTCTTTTTTTAAGATTTTATTTTTAAGTAATTTCTACACCCAACGTGGGGCTTGAACTCACAACCCCAAGATCAAGAGTAGCATGCTCCACGGACTGAGCCAGTCAGGTGCCACCCCCTTCCAGGATTCATAAGAGACAAAACCAGGAGTAATGAGATGTAAACTCAAGGCAGAAGTGACACTTGTGTGACTACAAAATAAAGTTACTCTTTCATTTTGTGTGACTACAAATTAAAGTTACTATTGCACATATCCAGAAAAAATTAATAAACTTCGACCAACAGCTGGAAACAAATTACACGTGCAAGCAGCTGAGCTCATTAGGAAACAGACTATTATTCTTTAAATAGGTATTTACTCAGATGTTGCATTAGTTTAAGCACAGATCATAAACATCTTAGCCTCCTTCCTCATTTGCCCGTTTCTGTGCCAAGCCCTTCCAAAGCTGGGGTTGATAAGGTTGACTCCAAGAAGGAAAGCTCATATAGGAAATGCTATCCTCACACAGCCCAGAGAACTGGTGACGCACTAGGAGCTTGGAAAACATCCCGTCGTTCACCTTACTAAGAGCAGTTAGGTAAGAAGATGGTCGTCCACGTGCACTATTGTTTTCCAGGTGTGTTTATTTATTTTTCACTTCTGCTTTGATATCAGTACTCTCAACCTGAATCAAATGGGGGGAGGGGGGATAGCAGCGCCGCTGGTGGTATGTGGGAGCAGCACAAGTTTAAAAAATAAAAACACAACCTTTTTTTTTTTTTTTAATTGCAGCGTATTCGGCGCCCTCACCTCTCTTCTACACCTCTGCCATCACCCCACGCAGCTCTTCGCCGCCGCCGCAGGTCCCCATGACAACCCCACCCGAAAGCGAGCCCCTCCGCCGCCTCCCGGCCCCCGCCCGGCCCCGGCCGGCCACACTCGCCTGTCAAGTGACAACTTCACCTGCCCTGCCCTGCGCTCTACTCTCCTCGCTCCCGAGAGACGGGCCAGGAACCCTCCCGACGCGCGGGCCCACTCCCGGGCGAGGGCACGACCCTCCCGGGCCGGGAGTGTGCGGAGGGGGCGGCGGGAGAGGCAGCTGAAGACGTTCCACTCCAACCCCCAAACGAGCGGTGCGAGGGCCGCGGCGCGACCCCCAAATGGGGTGCGGCGGCCCCGAGCCCCAGTCTAGGCGGCTGAGGGGAGCCGAGGGGCGGGCTCAGTGGGCGCGAAGGAACTTGTCGTTTTCACAAACAACGACGCGTCGCGGCGGCGGGAGACTGCTGGGGACCACATGCTCACCTTGAAAGGGTTGTTGAGATCCGGGTCCGCAAAGGGGTTACTGTCGAAATCCGACATCTCTCCGGCGCTTGGCGTCACCCACCGGACCCAGGCGCAGAGAGGGAGACGAGGCGAGGCCGCCGCCCCCCTGCGCGCTCACGTCGCCGCCGCCGCCGCCGCCGAGCAGATCCGGGTGCAGCTCTCGGGGCCACCTAGCCGGCCGCGCCACTGAGCATGCCCGGTGCCACGGGCTCCCGGCCGGCGGCGCCGCTCTCGTTCGCCGTCCCGTCCTTCCGGGCCTGGATCCAGCGTTCCGGGCTTTGGCTACGACCGAGTGGGGACTAGAGGCGGAGGGAGCCGGGAGCGGAGAGCGGGGGTGACCCGTCCTACGTTCCGTGGGCCTGAGATTCCGCGTCTTGATGAGGAATGCGTTTGGCTGGACTTAATTACATTACTATCTATTTAAGATCGGCTCCCTGTGATCGAACGTGACTTGGGGAAGAGGTGGTACTTTGTGAGCATGAAAGACACACACTGACCCCATTTCCCCAGGTTGGGAAGGCAGCCTGAGACATAGGCTGCACACCTGAGGAGGGAGCAGCTATTTAACCACGCTTCCAGCCCAGGGCTGGAGAGGCTCCGGCAGCTGGAGAAGCTCCGCACCTGGTTCCAAAGATAACGCCCCAGGGGGCCTGACCTCGCTATTGAGTTCTGCACACACACCCCACTCAACCCCACTCAACCCCACCTGGGAATCGCAGCCTCCGGTCTTCCGGTCCCCGGACTCCAGGTTACCGACAAATCATGGCGACCAGGCTCGTGTTACCGAGCCGGAACGGCTCCACAGAGGTTTGGGAAAGAGGGAAGATCCAGTATTAGGGTCCAGCCCCTGCTCCCATTCTCCGGAATCTGCAAAATGGCTACTTCTCCGGAAATGAATGGGGCTGGGGTGAGGGGTGCCACGAATTCAGAAATCAAGGTCCTCAAGTTAATGTTAGTGGTTAGTGGGTGATAAAAGGATGTTGTTGTTGTTGTTTTTACTTTAAGGCATTTGGGCACAAAATATACACCTCTGATTTTTTTTTCCTAAACAGCCCCCAACACCAGGGATGAGATCACAGAAAAATGGGTACGTGTAAAGAATTTTTGTACCATTTGTTGCCCTACCCCTGAAGTTAATGAGAGGGCATCCCCTTCCCCACTTTCATCTTTCTTCTCTAACAGAAAAGCACTTAACAGATGAAGCAATGAAGAGCCAGAATTCTCAGTTGGTCGGTGCCTAAGATTTGGAAAAAAAATAGAATTAGTCTTCTTAGCTTGGGGGGGTCGGCCGGGGGGGGGGGGCGGAACACCTTGCACTATGCAAAGTCACCTGGGAAATGATACTTCTTCCCCACTGTGAAAACACTAGTTCTAGGGATGATGACAAAAAACACATTTACTATAATCTCTCTTTGGCAGCATCCAAGTTAAAATATAGGACAAAGAAGCTGCTTCTAGGCACCTGACTAGGACGGTCAACTAATAAGTGACGACAGAGATAATTATGGCAGAGCTTCAAGGTTCTAGATATGAAAAAGAGCTAACTATTGTATTCACCACCTTATCCTCAGCAGCTGCCTGGTGTCTGGTTCATTAGCTTAGTGCTCAAAACATGTGTCGGGTTCAAATCCCAGTTCTGATGAGACAGTGCTATCACTTAATAACTTTGAATCTGTAAAGAGTTATTTGGGAATTATGTAAGAGCTAGAAAAAGTGTCCTGCATGTATTTAGTGCCTAACAAATATTGATTGAATGTCTGAAAATGGCAAGGGGGCCCAGTCCATTGTTGTTATATGCTTTTTTCCTCCACTCTCCTGAGCTTGACCTTGCCCACCTGATCTGCTTGTCTCACCACTTTGGCCCTCACTCCCTCCACCTGTCCTCCAAATGACCCAAATAATCAGAAGCTATTTATTATGCATCTACTATGTTCCAAGACAATGAGTATCAGCTTAGCCTGCATTGCAGGATGGAAATTTCCAATACAGTGTGTTTACAGGTGATATTAGCACCTAATGCAAAGACTTTACTGTTACAGAATCGCTTGGAATTCTTGTTAATGATGCAGACACCCACCTCTGCACATCTCCTATCTTTTAAATTCTGCTTTAAGGAATCTCAGCTAGGGGCCCTGGATCTGCATTTTTAATTTTTTAAATGTCTTTATACACAAATACATTATTTTACATAAATGCATAAGTGGATTCATAGCATACATACTGGTGTTCTCACTTTCTCTTTATTCTTTGTTTTCCCTTCTCTCTTCCCCTACTTTAACAACCTAGTATGATCCTTTCAACATTCTTATAACATTGTATATCTACATGCACATAATATAATACATGATCATACACAAATACATAATACATACTCATGTAGACACATATACAAAGTTTTGGCATTGTCTTGAAAATGGATCATATATAATACTTCCTGCAACTTGTTTTTCTCGCTCATACTTCTGGCAGTTTCTCAGAGAAAAGTGCATTAGCAAAGAGACCGTCTAAGCTTTCTTACCCCAATACACCACATAAATATTATTACTTTTTTTAAGTTTTTATTTATATATTTAAGTAATCTCGGCCCCCAATATGGGGCTTGAACTTACGCATGCACTTCTGGCTAAGCCAGCCAGGGGTCCCAATATTCTCACTTTTTATGTGTACCATGACTATTGAAGTGAAAAGCATTGGAAAGGATGGCCTAGTGGAAATCCCTCCTAATCAACAACTATGCATCTAATTTATACTCTTTTAACAGTTGCAAGATCAGCATTTTTAAAGGACTCCAGGTAATTCTGATAAAGGTGATATGCTGACCACACTTCAAGAACCCTGGTATAACGATGTTCAGAGATATGGTCCATGAGTGAGCTTATTGATTAGCTTTCATGAAATCTAGACTCCTAGGACATGAGAAAAGGGGAGCTTAACTCTTTCATGACAGGAGAAGAAACTGACTTTGGACAGGTTAAGTCATTTGCCTCAGTGGCAAAGGGAGTGAGTGAATAGAGGAACTAGGAACAGAACTCCGTTCTCCTGACTCACATTTCAGACATTAAATTGATAGATCTGGTTAGTGGCATTTCATAAAGGAAGAAGAAATGCTATGTGGAAGACAGAAGGTCAGCATATGGAAGGCTTCGTTTGCTGTACTTGTTCATTTTCCAGAAGCTGCCTCTTAAATTTGATAAAACAAAGAATGAAGAATCAAAACTAGTTTCTAGATCCAGCTCTGCCATAAACCAGCTGTGTGACCTTTATCAAATCAACTCCCCTCTCTGATCTGAAGTTTCACACTAATCATTCAACAAGTATTTATGGAGCACCTACTAACTGATAAACAGCGTTTTAGTTGTTGAGAATAAAGCCGCGAATAAGATAAAAATATAGAGACTGTTCCCAAGAAACTTCCTAAAAAGCCTAGAACATAGCTACATGATATTTGGAGTCCTTTGGACAGCTCTAATATTTTATTAACCTGCGGCAATGTGTCACCCCTCCCTAACTCTGTTTTTTGGGTTTTTTTGTTTTTTTTCCTTTAGGGTATGCCTCACACCCTTATCATGCTCCTTCTCCCTCAGTCTAACAAATTAACTTTGAGAATCTGTTGGGCGGGGGTTATAGGTTAAATCCATGTTTTCTACACCGGCTAGCATATAGCCGGTAAATGTTGAGAAAATGTCAAGTTAGAAATTTACATTTCTTGGGGCGCCTGGGTGGCTCATTCGTTAAGCATCTGCCTTTGGCTCAGGTCATGATCCCAGGGTCCTGGGATCGAGCCCTGCATCAGGCTCCCTGCTCAGTGGGAAGCCTGCTTCTCCCTCTCCCACTCCCCCTGCTTGTGTTCCCTCTCTC